TGGTCCAGCGACCCTTCCAGGGATGAACACCAGCATCTAAATGGCCTTCCCATTAGTGACTTTGTTTATAGCACTGAAGTGGGTCCAATTTATTTGGCCGAGGATCTTACTGTGTACGGCAGGAGTGCGTGTTGGAGTGGTGATGCTCAAAAGCCGCCTCCGCAGTTGCAGTGTTGCTGTGCACATCTCAGCTGAGGATGCAGTCGGGGGCAGCAGGCGTCGCAGCGCGGGGTAATGCCACATGGATCCTCTGCCGTTCCCGCGTCATTTTGACTGCGGCTCGTTTATCCTCTGCTGTGGAAGCTAAGCTGGGTACTCTCCAGTAGCTCTCACTAAAGATTTTTCTATTCTTTTCTGCAATTTCCCTTTATCTTACATGCTCCCCCCAGGGCCATCTATCACCTCAAATTTTATTGCCTTCTCTAATTGCTTCTCTGAAGTCCAAGTGTAATATTACTCCAGGATCTTTTTGAATAACTTCCTGAGTTGCTGCGATCCCATTCATCTCGTACTTCTGGCTCTCTCGATAAGCCCGGTTGTACATTGCTTTTCATTTTGGTGTGTCAACACTGAAATCGAACGCATCACACTTTGGCCTTTCGTTAAAGCCGACGATGAACACTTCTTATAGCAGTATCTGAGTTGCAAAATCAGTTTCCATTTCTTTGTTTCTACAGGTTTCCTCTGCTACTGCTGCAGCTTCACCAGCTTCTGATTCGGGGTAGTGCAAGGCAGGGTTTAATTGCCGGGTCCTTGGTACTCCGTGATCATCCCAGGCGAGCAGTTGGTACTGTGTTGGGATGCCCAGCGTGGCGCCCAGTGTAGACGTCCTCGGCCATGGGATCCCAGGTTTGGCCGTGGCTTTGTGGTGTCATGCCAGTCCAGCGCTGGACAGGTCTGGCTGGTTTTTGTAAGAGTTGAACAGGAGCGGATCCTTTACTGAGAGCCAAAGAGTTAACCCTGATGGTGCTCAGTCCCTTGCTGGTCATTGTAGGGAGGTTAACGGCCACTCCCATCTCTGCGACCAGCATGGGGTGGCAAGACTCCTGCGTTTGGGGTGAGTTGGGGAGAGGGTTTGCACCACTGATAGATCTGCCTGGAAGCAGAGGATTGGGGGTTTTTTGAACCCCAAATGAAGTGAAGTTAATGCACGCGCCATGCTCAAAGGCCGAGTGTTTGGTTAGTTTGATCAAAGCCAGTTGCTCCTTTTGGATCACGGAGTTCATGGGACCTCCTGGAGACCGACCGCGATGAGCACGGCGAGGAGCGATGGGTCAGGTCGTTACCCTCAGCCCAGAGCCTGGTTTATCCCTGCGGGCACCTCCTGCCCACAAGTCCCCAGTTTGAGGCCATTTATGTTTTGCACCAGTTGTTGACTTTCTCCCTCATTGAGTTTTACGCTGCTGTCAGCCAGGACTCCACAAAATGTTAATTTTGCCGTGCTTGCTGCCAGAGCTGATGCTGTCTGCCCTGGCAAGGACTGCCTGCCATCTGCTAAGGGACACCTTCAGCCACCACTCCTGCCAGTGTGCCAGCCTTCTCCAGTAAGGCAGTGGAGACCAGAAGTGTGGTGGGACGATCTCACACCGACCTGAGCGCTCGCTGCCGGCTTCGTGTTGGCGTGTTTTGACTTTTGAGAGAGGGAAACAGTGGATTTAAAGCCTTTCGCACCTCCCCGGCTCCTGCTTTTGGAGGAGGAGGACAATTTGCTGGAGAAAACTCCGTTAGGGCTTCAAAAGGAAAGTCTGGCGGTGGCTTGCTGGGGCCGGGGCTGGCTGCAGCGCAGATGTCTGCGTGCAACAATAGGCTGCGATTCAACCCCGTGCTTTGAAAGCAAAGGGGGGAGGGGAAAAAAGAAGAAAGGAAAGAAAAAAAAGAAAACCAGAAAGCCATTAGATGACTTCAGCCCCGCGTGACTACATCAAAAGGGAAGGCGTCGTAAATTCAGTTTCTATTAAACGCCGGGGCACCAACGCCGGGGAGCGGGATGCTGCGCTGGTGCCAGCGGCCGAGGAGAGCTCTTTGCGGGGCTTCCTCCCGGCGGCGGCGTTGACCTGGGTTGGATTTAGCCGCTCTGTACTGGTGGATGGTTGACGTGCCTTTCACTTCCTAATTGCCTGAGATGTGTCCCCGTGCCTTCTCTTGCCGCCTTCCCAGCAGGTGTTTGTAGGTCCCTGTGGCCCAGCAGCGCTGGCCCGTGTTGGGGATCTCCTGGCGCTGGGCGAGCTCTGCGCGTGGGGACGTTTCCCAGTGCTGAGATAACATGTCCTCTTCATTTTGTGGTCATCCTTTCCAAACCCTGAAGTTTCTGGTGGGTTGCTGTGGATTTGTTCTCCTTGGCTTCATGCTAATTTGTAAGAACTCATTTGCTGCATGTCAAAACCATTGGAGATGATCTGTCCTAGGGCATCCTAGAGCACCTCTCACTATTTTCTATCTTTGTTTTATGTGGAATCACTCAGTTTGCCATTGTGAACATAGTTCTTTTTCTCTTAACTGGTTGTTTTGGTTTTTTTTTTTTTTTTTTTTTGCGTAATAGTCCAGACTATTATCCTATTGTCCTAGCTAATTGCCCAAGACAAATACAACAAGGAGGAGCATTTGGAAAGAAATCGATCATTCTCTGGATTTTCTGGGTGTGAAATAGGTCATGTTTTCAAGGTCATTGTCTACTGAACTGTATGGAAAGCAAACATCTTGGTTGAGGGGTCTCTGCACCAAATATTTTCTATGCAGAGAACGTTGCTCCCAGGATGCATGAAGTTTCCCTGGCCCGTGGCTGTAACGGTTTGTACACAGCCAGAGTGGCAACTGCAAATCCTGCAGCATCCAGAAAGGAATGATGAAAGTTTTTTAAAAGAAATAGAAAAGGGAAAAAATATTTTTAATTTTAATTAAGCCAAAATAATGGTTTTGAAGGGCCAGTGTGGGAGGTTTTGCCTGCTAAGATTTGCAGGACAGCACCTTTTTTTTTTTTTTTTCCCCAGAGACTGATTGCAAGTGACAGAAACATGGGACGATGTAATAATGCGAGAAAAAAACCTGTCGCTTCCTCCAACCCGAGACAAT